TAACACTCAATAGCTTCTTAATATTTATTTAAATTGTGTAATGCGAAACCTATATATAAGTATTTTAAATTATATTACCCTTGTTGTTCCAAGCACTAACATTATTAGGATTTATAGAAATAGCTTTGTCTTAGCACTCAATAGCTTCTTAATATTTATTTAACCTGTTTAATGCAGAACCTATATATAAGTATTTTAAATTATATTACCCTTGTTGTTCCAAGCATTATCATTATTAGGATTTATAGAAATAGCTTTGTCTTAGCACTCAATAGCTTCTTAATATTTATTTAACCTGTTTAATGCGAAACCTTATTATACATACTAAAATACTACCTTTCCATCTATAAACATCGTCATGTTAATCAAATAATTTGATTGAATTATTAAATATATTTATAGCCTCTTGATATTTACCTTTATCAGTTAATTCTTTGGCTATTTTATTCTTAATGTATTTTACCTTAATTAAATAACTATTGTGCTTTTTCTATTTCCAAGTTCTTTTGTTCATTGCATTTCTATTTATTTTCTTACTTGTTGATATTATTTTCTTCTACAGTTTTCACTTGAGTATTGATGGTTGTTTAAACTGATACTATATTTTTGATTGTATTAAGAATTTAATTGAATTCTATTATTTGGTTTTCTATTAAAATAATTGGAATAAAATACATATTGATTTTTCTTTTTCCTTGGAGTAAAATTGTCTAATTGTATTAATTTCTTACTTAAACGATAAGTATTCTTTATTTAATAGTTTCTAATTCATATCCTCTAAGATTCTAATTTCTTGATCCATCTATTTTTATATCTATTCAAAACAATTCTTCATTTGATTGATAATTTCTTTGATTTATGTATTAGATTGCTTTTGAACTTATATGAATTAATTGATATATTAGTTCATTGTGACAAATCGAATACAATCATTTTAATGATCTGAATGAGTCTATGTCAAGCATTAATAACAATATTAAGTTGCTTTCTGACAATTCTGATTTAAGCAAAATCCCATTATTTCTTCATTTTCATGATTTACATATCTGCATTTAAACATTTCCATTTTAATCTTAAAATTAATAATTAATAATTAATAAGATTTATTTCGTTTCTTCTCATTATAAATTCATTATTTATAATATATTACATAAAATTATTTATTGAGAATAAATTTTGTGAAATTAGATGCTTTTTTTCAATAGTATTTTAATCAATTTTTTGTCCAAATTTGATTATTTTCTCAACTCTACTAATAATTCAATTTTATTTTTTCAATTAGTACCTTATGTAAAACAATTTGCACCAAAATAGAAAAAAAAATATCCTAATCCACCACATATAACATTCTGACAATGTTCAATATTTATCATTATTATTTTGTAAAATGTTAAAATGCTCTTAATGTATATTTAAAACATATAACTTTTTAAACACTTCATAATTAGTATTAAATAAATAATGTTTTTTAATCAAAAAAAAAACATCATGATATTTTATGAAAATAAAAGCGCTTGAAGATTTATTTTTTATTACGGAAAGAATAAGTTACAGTATTTTAGATTCAAATATAAACATCTCTTAACTAAAGAAACAATTAGCAAATAATATTGATGGAAATTTAATTTTTTTGAAATTGCTGCCTATTAAAACATTGCTGATCCTTATTGCATATTCACTCAAAAAGAAAGTATAAGATGAATTTTATGGTTTACCCCTTCTTCCTGAGTAGATATATGATAATTGCCTCAGTTTAGAGTAGGAATCATTTTGATTTTATAAAAGTCTCAAAGGGTAAACTGCATAAAGTATAAAATTAGTTTTCAAAAATACCAGTCAAAAATTTTGGTATATCAAATGTAGATAGAGAGATACTTAGCATTTTTGAAGTTTCAGATCTTCCAAAATATTATCAACAGATTCAGAGAAAACAATCAAAGACTTTGTCTTCGCAAACTGGCTTTATATTGTTCTTTTTTGCATTTTTATCTTTACTCATGTCAATTAGTAGAATAATAAATATATCNAAACCTATATATAAGTATTTTAAATTATATTACCCTTGTTGTTCCAAGCACTAACATTATTAGGATTTATAGAAATAGCTTTGTCTTAGCACTCAATAGCTTCTTAATATTTATTTAACCTGTTTAATGCGAAACCTTATTATACATACTAAAATACTACCTTTCCATCTATAAACATCGTCATGTTAATCAAATAATTTGATTGAATTATTAAATATATTTATAGCCTCTTGATATTTACCTTTATCAGTTAATTCTTTGGCTATTTTATTCTTAATGTATTTTACCTTAATTAAATAACTATTGTGCTTTTTCTATTTCCAAGTTCTTTTGTTCATTGCATTTCTATTTATTTTCTTACTTGTTGATATTATTTTCTTCTACAGTTTTCACTTGAGTATTGATGGTTGTTTAAACTGATACTATATTTTTGATTGTATTAAGAATTTAATTGAATTCTATTATTTGGTTTTCTATTAAAATAATTGGAATAAAATACATATTGATTTTTCTTTTTCCTTGGAGTAAAATTGTCTAATTGTATTAATTTCTTACTTAAACGATAAGTATTCTTTATTTAATAGTTTCTAATTCATATCCTCTAAGATTCTAATTTCTTGATCCATCTATTTTTATATCTATTCAAAACAATTCTTCATTTGATTGATAATTTCTTTGATTTATGTATTAGATTGCTTTTAAACTTATATGAATTAATTGATATATTAGTTCATTGTGACAAATCGAATACAATCATTTTAATGATCTGAATGAGTCTATGTCAAGCATTAATAACAATATTAAGTTGCTTTCTGACAATTCTGATTTAAGCAAAATCCCATTATTTCTTCATTTTCATGATTTACATATCTACATTTAAACATTTCCATTTTAATCTTAAAATTAATAATTAATAAGATTTATTTCATTTCTTTTTGAGTATAGAATAAATAGCAAATTAATATAAAATGCAACAAGTTTCACAACAACCTTACAATACAATCGAGAATTTAAATCGTACTTATTTGATTAAATGAATTGTCTGTTTTTTTTTTAAATTGGCCAATAAATATCAAAGAGTAGATCTTAGAATATTTCAAGTTTTTATCATGCAAGAAGAGAATTTGTCTCTTCTTAAGGGGTAGGCAGAGAACCTTTATAAGGAGAATTGATACAAATATAATGTACAATAAGTCATCTATAAAGTAAGCCATCATTATTGTTAGTTTAAAATTAATAGAGTATTGAGCATGGCTAAAAAAGAATAAAGAAACTAATTCAACATTACCGAAAATTCATAAGTATAGTATTGACCCATAGTTTGAGAAAGGAATAAATTGTGCATTTGTTTGGTTGGTTGAATAAGTATGAAAATACTTGAATAATATTATATATAGTGAAATGATAGTTAATATATAAGAAGAAGGAGCTTACATATTATATTTTATCCAATCTCTAAAATTGGGAAAAACTCAAATTTTTTTTGTCAATTTTATTTTAATTTTACCAATATAATAAAATAAAAACCATTAAATGCACAATTCAATTTATTTTGGAAATAAAATTTGAATATGCAAATGTTCAAAACGGTTTTACTTAAGGGAAATATTGTGCATATCCTTTTATTCTACCTATTTAAATTATGATTTAATAAATTTTGCGAAAAGAGCTTTGCAAATAAATTACTTATATGTTAAAATAGACCTACTGCCACTCAGCAAGTTTAAGCGCTTACTTACTATCGAACTGTCTACCTTAATCATCCTCTAACTATAATTGGCTTCATTGTGGTATTTACCGAATTAACTGAATGAGATGATGCTGATATTAGACTTGATTCATTGTGATTTTGATAGCCTTTACGTAATCTTACTAAATGTTCAGATATTTTTTTCTCAAAGAGAGAAGTAACATCTAAATATTTATAAAGGATTGGTATAAAAATACTCTTGAATATGATAGTAGTAATAGTATCATTCTTCTTTTATAGTAGCTACTTTATACAATATTACCTTGTCTTAAAAAGGAAAAAGTTTGCAAACTGCTATAAAATAATTAGTGTATAAACGTCATATTTTATTAATATTGATTTGTTATACTATATTTACAGAAAAACTTTTCTCCTTTTCGTCAATTCAAATATTTGAGGTAGTATTTATTGAAAGTTTTAGTAATCAAGAATTCAGCAATTTTATCAAAACAATTTTTATTATAATCCTTAATTAGCCAAAAAGCTAGAATAATTAATTACATAGGGATATCCTTTCCTTTATTAATCTTCTCAAAAGAACAATATAGATTAACTACGTCCTACAGAGAAGAAATAAACTTAAATTGATTAAATTATTTTATGATTTATTCATTCTGCTTATCTTCTATATAAAAATTTTAGATGCAAATTAAATAGCATTTCCTTTAAACTGTGAAGTATTGGAAAATAGCTCATTTATAATTTAAAGAAATAATTATAAGAGGCACTACAATTAATTGTGTTGAGAACAAGTTTAGAGCAATTTAAATCTATTTTTTTACAATAAATAGAAATTTTATATTCAATACTGAAAATCATTATACCAAAATATTAATTTCAATTAATATTACTTAATACACATTAAGCTCGCAATGAGATGAAACGTTCATCCAAAGGTTTTACATAATTTAAGATTATATTTCAAGAATTATTTACAGTAGTGCCATTTTTAATTAGTTATTTTTGACTGTATTTTCTTCTTCTGGTAGGTGAATAGGACCCCTAAAATTTAAATTTTCAAAAGATCCAAACTCTTTCAGAAATTGCTGAAGAGTTTGAGCTATTTGTATAATTATTTTCATTTTTGATCTTTTAAATGTAAAGGCTTCCAAGATTTATTAGAGAGCTAAAGTTGGATCTTGAGAGATGATGGACTGTTTATCGGGATTAATTCTGGTATAACATACAGTCAAGGTAGTTTGGTAATAGAATTTTCTTATGATTGTTAGGCAAAAATTTTCTACTTAGTTCTTTTAATATATTCTATACATAAAGATGAAATTTTAAAGCCCTCCTTATTGGATTAAGAAACCTAATACTTGAGTATAATCAGGAAGTTGATTAACTTCAAATATTTTTGGAATTAAATTGAAGGTAATCCTAGAATAACAAATATTCAACATGATGTTAGAGCCATTTGAATCTAAGAAACTTAATAGCATCAATATCTAAGTAGTAAGGATGGCCGTTTTACTCTGTAGCAAATATATTGATTAATAGCTTTATTTTGAGTGAGAGGAAAATCCAGCACTTAGAATAGATGATTAAAAGAGATATTAACTTAAAATTTAGGAGGAATCCAAATACACAATAACAAATGATAAATTCGAAGAATTTAAGGTTTAAGAACATCAAATAAGAATTAAAAGTCCTATTTTAAGAAATGATCCCATTGTGAACTACTTTGTTTCTCTATTAATATTCCTATTAGGACTTATTCTAAATACCTTTTACTAATGCAAACTGATTTAAACTATACTTAGAGATTTTGAAGGATTTCCTTCTTCGAGTTATAAGCTTATTGGAATCTGCAATAAGCCATTCTTTTTAAAACTCAAGCGTACTGTTATAAAATAATCATTAATAAAATCTTTAGAGATAATATTGAAACCCTTAAGGTCCTGCTTGATTATTCCAAATTTTAATAGATTGTGATATAATTCGTCTAAGACTTCGTTTAAAGGAATACCTTAATTAAATTTTCATATTTTTTTTGAAGGAAAATAAAGTAACGAAGATTAAATCCAATAGTTGAGGTCTACCCTATCATTTAAATGAAATATACTATTCCATAGTTTGATATAATTAGACTACTTATGAGATTTGTACAACTATATAAGGTATCGCCATTGTAGGTGCAAAAGAATTTATTAAGTTTTTTGAAGAGTACCATCACTAGTAATTTGGAGGAATCAGATCATTTTGATGAAGGGATTGAAATTTTCTAAGAGAAGAAGAGGTTTCTAATTTATTGCCTTATGATATTCTACTAATATATAAAAAGAAGAATTAAGTTTCAACTTTCTAAGGGTTGTAAGAAGAACTTTATGCTATGAATGGGATATTAGCCACTTGATATTTATGATTCTTTAAGAAGAAGAAATTTTACAGCTAAATAGAGTCATTATACACTCTATGCATTCTTCTTTTCTGTTTGATATTTTTTATCAAGGATCTAAAGTATAGAATTAATATGATCTATAAGGAAGAAAAAGCAAAAAAAATAAAAGATGCTTGAGTTTCAAATAATTTAAGGCATGAAATTGTTGTTGATCTGGCTATTTCTATCTTTAGATTGCACAATTATTGTAAATTAGTTATTGTACTGGCTTATATGTAATCTTTAAAGTCATTATGAAATATCTAACTATGTGACTAATGTAGGAAATGTGAAGTAGGTTCGATCTTGGGACGAAACTATTAAATACTTTAATATTTAAGAGTTCAAATCAATGTGATGTAGCAAAAATAAAATGCTTTCCTTTTTATTTTACGAATTCAAGAATTGAATGTTGGCTACTCAAATACATGATTTTGTTATGGAACTCTTGTATTAGGCCTAATTATCTTTTAACTCCTTTAAGTTATCTTGAATTAAAATACACACTTTTAGCATATATTTACAGTGTCCAAAATTCTGTAATTATGTATAAAACTCTAACAAATCTAAATGTTACTTAAAAAATAAATCAACACAAATTTCCATTATTACTTCTCTATAAGATAATTTATTTAAAATAATTTAGTAATGAACTATATTTTTGTCAAAACAAAGAGAATCAAGTTTTTGCTAACAATCCCTAGTTGTGTCTCATAATATCATTATAAAAAATATTATCTTACAGTTAACTTTCAAGAAATCACTTATTAATTCTAAGGATTCTGATTTAATTGTCAAATCTATTTGAAATCTTTAAATACCTGATTATATCTTTAATGTAAATTTGATATTCTAAAATCAATTACATGCCATCAATAATTCGTAATATGTATTTTGTTATACTCTAATATCTAAATATCTAAATGATTCTACCATTTCATTAATAACTCCAAATCTTTATTAGGCAATTTAGGCAAAATATTTAGTTTTTTGATTATAACTTATAATTGAAAGGTAATGTGATTTTAATTGATATATTAGTCATATGCCAACAATTTCTTGGTGTGCTATCAAAGTTGCATCATCTGCATATCCAAAAATTTTGAACATCCTACATTACACCTAATTATTTTTTTTTGTGGAATTTTTCGATCTATTGTTTCAACTCTTGTTTGAATTTCATAAAACAATTATTGAAGTAGGTATTAAATAGGAAATGACTAAGTGAAAATCCTTGCTAAACCCATTTTACACTTTTTACAAAGTGTTTTTGTCACAAATACACATATTCTCAGATTTATTGATTAAGAAATCTAATTAGTTCCCTAGCATATTTTAAATATCTTATTTCATATATAGTTTATGATCCATAAATTATAAGCATTAGATTGAAATTTCTTATTTTCTTTGAACTCAAAAAGTAGAAGTTTAACAATTTATATTTCTGTTTTCCTCTCAAGTTAAACAAGGATAAATCACCATTTTCTTCTTCTTTTGGCTATACCTTCATTATTAATCTAATCATGATTAAAGTATAGTTGAAATAGGATTGTTATACCGTTTAACATATTCATATTACTTCTTGTAAGCATTTTTCATAGTCTTTCTCTTATTCATATTCAAAATCTAAATCAATTTCTTTATACATTTATATATAATCTAATTGTTTATTCTAATCTTCTTCCATGATACTTATCATACTTTCATTTTCGTTTCTCTCTTAATTTGAGTTGTATAAACTTATCGATACGCTTCTTATTATTTCTTTTCATTTCTAGAATTTTTACTTGAATTTTTCATCCCATTCAACATGTGAGTGCAATATGTATTTAATCAATTTATCTTCTCCCTTGTGGTGTAAGGTTATGAATTAGTTAAATTATTCTTCAAGTTCCCACCTTATCCTTTTCTTTCCAATTATACAAAATGATTTCTGACCTTCTTTTGCATTTAGTTTGGGTATTTTAATTGTTAATCTCTTCAATTTAATCCTTGTATATTATGAATATTGGTTTATTGTAAGAGACAAGTAATCTATTAAATTCCTATAAATCAATTTCATTTTTTCTTGAAATGTGATGCTTTATTTTTGAACAAAATATCAATAGTTGTTTGAATTAGAGTTCTTCTATTTTTTACTTTCTCATGATTAAGTCGGATACCGAGTAAAATTAGTCAATAGCTTTTCTTTGTTTAGTAAAGCTCGATCCAATTATAAATTACTAATGTTCAAAATTTTAAGTTACTAATTCTTCTCCTCTAATCCCACTTATTTAATAATTCCAATCATTAATAATATTCAACTCTTCTTTTGCAGAACCATTAATACCCCAGAATTCGTGATTAATCCAAAATGTTTGTTTCCTTTTTAAATTATTTATATAGGACTCTTCAAGCTAAGAAATTATTCTCTGAACTAGGACTGGTCTGAGTTATTGATGTTCAAGCTATTGACAAATAATTCAACATTATCCCCAAAAAGAATAGCATCAAGAATGTTGAGGGGTTTTGGTTTTGGCTTTATCCCTTACCTCCCCTTCTTAATAAACTCTCAAAAATTTAATATTTATTCCTTCAGTGTCCATTTACACTAAATAATAATTGAATGAAGGGTAGACTATTGAAAAGAGTTTCTCAAATTATGCTATTTTGAAGACATCATATAAGGCTAAACAACATAATTTAATACTTTGGTTGCTAAGCAAAATGTTAAAATTTGTTAAATTCATGAAAAGGTCAAGAATTCAAGAATAAAAACTATTACGTGTAATTATATGTTAGAAGCAATTGCACGAGAGTTAAACTTAATAAAATGCAAATAATACATTCCTAAAACAATATATTTTTTTTATTTATCAAATGCTTTTAGTGCCAAAAAAAGCGGTTCTTATTATGATAATATTCTAGATTTTTCTTCATTTATATATTATTGATTCCTAGTAAAATTCAGCGAATTGATAAATATAGAATGTATTAAATTCTTAATAGATATATTTATTATTCTACTAATTGACATGAGTAAAGATAAAAATGCAAAAAAGAACAATATAAAGCCAGTTTGCGAAGACAAAGTCTTTGATTGTTTTCTCTGAATCTGTTGATAATATTTTGGAAGATCTGAAACTTCAAAAATGCTAAGTATCTCTCTATCTACATTTGATATACCAAAATTTTTGACTGGTATTTTTGAAAACTAATTTTATACTTTATGCAGTTTACCCTTTGAGACTTTTATAAAATCAAAATGATTCCTACTCTAAACTGAGGCAATTATCATATATCTACTCAGGAAGAAGGGGTAAACCATAAAATTCATCTTATACTTTCTTTTTGAGTGAATATGCAATAAGGATCAGCAATGTTTTAATAGGCAGCAATTTCAAAAAAATTAAATTTCCATCAATATTATTTGCTAATTGTTTCTTTAGTTAAGAGATGTTTATATTTGAATCTAAAATACTGTAACTTATTCTTTCCGTAATAAAAAATAAATCTTCAAGCGCTTTTATTTTCATAAAATATCATGATGTTTTTTTTTTGATTAAAAAACATTATTTATTTAATACTAATTATGAAGTGTTTAAAAAGTTATATGTTTTAAATATACATTAAGAGCATTTTAACATTTTACAAAATAATAATGATAAATATTGAACATTGTCAGAATGTTATATGTGGTGGATTAGGATATTTTTTTTTCTATTTTGGTGCAAATTGTTTTACATAAGGTACTAATTGAAAAAATAAAATTGAATTATTAGTAGAGTTGAGAAAATAATCAAATTTGGACAAAAAATTGATTAAAATACTATTGAAAAAAAGCATCTAATTTCACAAAATTTATTCTCAATAAATAATTTTATGTAATATATTATAAATAATGAATTTATAATGAGAAGAAACGAAATAAATCTTATTAATTATTAATTATTAATTTTAAGATTAAAATGGAAATGTTTAAATGCTAATTTAAAATACTTATATATAGGTTTCGCATTAAACAGGTTAAATAAATATTAAGAAGCTATTGAGTGCTACGACAAAGCTATTTCTATAAATTCTAAAAATGATAATGCATTTTGTAATAAAGGTAAAATATATTTAAAATCAGGTCTTACTCTACACAATTTAAAACAATACTCTAACGCATTAGTGTGCTATAATTAAGCTCTTTCAATTTCAATTGATCCTATTCGATTAAAACTCAAAGGTTTAATTCTTTATTAATTTAAGCTGATTCACTATTTTAATTAGGAATGAAATTAGAAGCTAAAGAGACTTATTTAGCTGCTTTGCAATAAGGATCAACGGAATAAGAATATATAAAGAAATAATTATAAAAGTTATGAATATTCATAAATATTACCCATTACCGATATATAATGAGCATTATTAAGTTTACTTATGAAATGTCCATTTAAGATTATCTAATTTAGCTTAACCAAAATTACTCACAAAAATTAATCATCCACTCCATCTTGTTCAAAGTTTTTACTTCGATTAATTCTCCTTTTTACATTTAAAAATTCAAAGATATCATTAAATTAAATTCCTTTTGTTACTTTATAAATGAATTTTTGTTTATTAGACCTCTTTCATTGTTATAAAAAGTAGAAAGTTGATTCAATTTTTTTTAATATAGCAAAACCTTTTTAATTAAATTAAAAGGAGTTGAAATCTAAAAATATCCTCAAATTTAGGTAAAAAATAAGAATTATATTAGTCCACTCACATTTGTTCTTCAACAAAAGAAAATTTAGAAGACTAATAGTTCGCTGCTTACTTACAAGATTAAGTTTAATACCATCTATTTTATTATAAGAGGAAAGTTAATCATTATATGTCTGACTACAAGACTATACTTTTCGCTGCACAATAAACAATTTAAGCTTATTGATCTAAATTATGAAGGCTCCTGGGTTTGGTAAAGTCTACCTGTCTGTGTATTTTATAAATAAAACGACAGTACTGAGTACGGTTGGGGTTTGTCTAACTGGTTCCTAAATGTGCGTAAGCTTTTAGTCGTGAAAATGGGGGTCTGAGCAAAAATGAGGA